AGCTCTGGCAATGACACCGGCCTCTCTATGCAGTGCCTGGCTCTATAGCCCTGCCCCAGGAGGAGATGGCCACGGAGAAGCCGGTGACTCCCACCGAGGAGCAGCTAGAGATCCTGGAGTACAATTTCTGCAAGGTGAACAAGCATCCTGACCCCACCACGCTGTGCCTCATTGCGGCTGAGACCGGGCTCTCGGAGGAGCAGACCCTGGTGAGTGTGTGCCTCTTGTCCCCACCCTGGCACCAGCCTTGTCCTCCCTGCACCCCTCTGTGCCCAACACACTCCCCATGCATCTCCTGTCTGTCCTGTCCCCGGCTGTCTATCACACTATCCCTGCACCCTTCTGTTCCCCACGTGCTCCCTACTGCACCCCTTCACCCCTCTGTGCCCCACACATTGCTCCCTGCACCACTCTGCACACTGCATGCTCTTTACTGCACCCACAGAACTCTTCTGCATCACCACACCTCCAGGTACCCCACACACTCCCTGCACCCCACAGTCGCCCCAAAGCCCCTTCCCTTGTAATCAGCCCCTTCATCCCACAGCCACAGCCTTCTGCACAGCAGCCCTGTGCCCCACTGGGATCCTTGCACCCCCTGCCCAGGAGTCCCATTCTCAGCCTGGGCTTGGAGGTCAGGCTGGTACTTCCCACAGCCAGAACGAGGACAAAGCCCAAGGCATCTCCTGCCTGCCCTGTCCCCGGGTCACTGGCTGGCTGTGGTGCCCTGAATGTACAACCTGGGCATGCTGTCCTTTCCTTCCCACTCATTTCTGATAGTCTCAGGTGCCCAAACCATGACTAGCTAAGAAACTGCAGTCCTTTTAAACCAGATACAGGACAGATGCAACTCCTGCAGGATGTGCTGTGGGATGTGCTCAGGCTGTGCATTCTCCCCCTCACTGCAATTAGCTACTTCAGCATCCCCAAGCCCAGATGTCAGGCAAGGCTGTCAGCCTCTCCAGGAGACACAGAGGCCTCCAAATGTCCCTCCATAGGGAGGACGGGCTGCCTCTGTAAGTGACTTCTACTGAGCCCTGTGCTCCATCTGGCTACCTGCAGGCCAGCCTGGGCTTCAGAAGCAAACGGCTCCTTCCCAGTTCCCTCAGGTTGCAGTGCAGCCACTGCTGATGCACGTGTTGTGTAAGCTACTCGACCCATAGCAGCATTGATGGGTAAAGAAATCCAGCTCTCTGAAAAGTTAGCAGCATTTTGCAGAGCTGCTAAGCCTTGCACTCCCTGCTAGAGCCAAAGGAGTATGAGATCCAAGCAGCCAATGCCAGCATTTAGCCTGGCCCAGGGAAGGATGCTCGTGTAACATCCATTGCACTGCTAGTCCTTGTCTGGAGTGGAAAAGGAGACCACTCCTCTACTGTGCTTTGGTGACAAACAAGTACCACTGCTTGTTTGAGGCAGTATCCTTGAAGTACTTCTTCTTCCTTAGAAATGGCACTGCTCCTTCTTTTTTTTTTCCCCTAAAGCAGGTTGTAAACACAAGCCATATATGCCCAGTCTTATGGGCTGGGCCATCTTTCTCACAAATCCAGGGTGCTCCTAAAGATCTGGAGGTGAAGGTCATGTTAGCATTGAGACTGGGATGGTGAGCTGCAAAGTGCCTGCATTGCATAGGACAACAAAGAATTATTGCTCCTGACATCTAGAGTGCTTTAACAGCTAGATATAGCAGCCACTGTAATAAAAAATTTAGTAGAAATGAGATGCAGAGACCTACTGAGTCAACAGGAGATGACAGTTGAAGACAGGAAGTGAAATTTTTGGGAGGAGGCTAGTCAGGCAATCATCTGACTGGATGTGGTCCAAGGCAGTGCTAGTGCAAGGAACACTTGCAAAGAGCACTGTGGTTGTATCATTACGGACCACAATAGCTTCAAAAATAGCCATGAGCAAATATAGCAACAAAATGAGCAGCAACAAAGCCACTCGCAGGCACGTTCCCAAACAAAAGGCTGAGCTGTGCTTCCGGCACACGAGCTCTCTCCTCACCAAGGTAGAGTGGCTTCAAAGAGCTGCATTTTATCTAACGTTTGAAATTGTGGCACTGAAGTGGCACCCACAGCTCTGGGAGTTGGCTTAGAGATGCTAAATTACTACAGAATAACAGAGCCAGGCATATTGCTTGGAGACTAGGTACTCGTTTTTAATCCATTTTTTAAATCTATTTGTTCTTAAATTTGTTGAGAGCCACCGTGTTGTCCCTCTCATCTTTTCTGAAGCAGGTTGATTTTTGAGTCCCCACATTTTTGGACCTGCAATGACAGGCTCAGTGCACCAGCCATTTAAACAGATGCCATCCGACAACTTCTTAGCCAATCTCTTACTCTGCAAGAAAAATCTGAACTCCCAGCAAGAAAATGAGGACTCACCCATGCTGTCAAGGTCCGAAGCGAGCAAGAGGACTGAGTTTGAAAGAGGTGGACACATAAATAACAAGACCATTCGGGCAGGAGCAGCTCTCCTGCTGCCTGGGGACAGCAGCAGTCCTTGCTGTGAGATAGCCGTACCCTGAGTTTCCCTCGCCTGGTCCCACGGGCTGACCGCATTTGCACCTTCAGTGAGGTTCCTCAGAGGGTTTGCTCAGCCCGGTGCACTCAAGCCTCTGTTGTTTTCTTCTTTTTTCCTCCAGAAGTGGTTCAAGCAGCGCCTGGCAGAGTGGAGGAAGTCTGAAGGGCTGCCCTCAGAAAGTGGCTCTGTCAGGGACTAGAGGATGCTGCCCCGGCCCCCACGCCTGCTGTACACGGTGGTGAAGTCCTTCAGAGTGGGTTTCTTTGGGCTTCTTCTGTTGCAATAGGTTTTGAGATACCAAGTAATGCCCTGCTATTTAACATAAGTTTTATTTAAAGTGTACATAACCAGGAAAAAATATTATATATATGTGTGTGTATACAGCTTCTAACGGCTGCATAATCTGCCTAGTGATTCCCATCCCCAGAGGCTGCACAGGGCAAGGCAATCTCATGCCCTTGTCTCAGGTTTGCAGGAAAGCTGCCATGGAAGATTCAAACGTAGAAGGGGGGAAAAAAGATTTATTTTCTTTAGGATCTCCAGAAGCACATCATGTGTGTGCTAGCTTTAATACACAAATCATCCAGAGAGGAGGGCACTTGGAAAACCAGATGTGTTGTTCAGGCGGTCTTAGCTCAAGATGCCAGAGTCAGCTCTGCATATTGGCAAACCAAGTGCCTAGACCATAATCAGACCAAGCCAAGCCCCCCTTGAATGCATTTCTCACATTTCTGTTAAAGGTCATCAAAAGGAAAAAAATGTTTTTTTATTTTGCCAATGTATTAATAAAAAACTGATTTTTTTTGAGGAAAGCGGCTGTGTTATGTCTCTTGGTTGTGCTCCCTGCCCCAACAGTAGGAAGCAGACTCCTTCCTCTGGGAGGGCAACACTTCTCCAAGGCAGCCTCAGTGGGCACTGGGGGGTTTCCCTCTTGCCACAGGGATAGCCCACCCACAGACATGGGCAACCCCCTCTTCTAGGGCACCCATGGGTCCATCCACGGCAGCCCACACAGCCTTATGCACACCCCACGGTGGCAGAGGCTGGTGATTTTGAGGTTCCCCCACGAAGGGAGGGGAAGATCCCAGCCTCCTTCTGGCCATTCTCAAGCTTGAAGTTGAACTGGGGCTCTTGCACAAAGCCCAAATCCTCATCCATCCTGGTACAGGACAACGCATGGGCTGAAAAATAACCAGCACCACTCCCAAGTGACCTTACCTTGTTCAAAAGGGTTCCAAAATCCTCTGCTTAGAGGATTATTGAATCAATTAGTGGATCCTCCAATTAATCCTCTTCTGCTTTGTGGTCACCTGCTTCTGCTGCTTTGGAAGGAGAGTCAGCTTAACACAGGGGAGATTAGGACACACAGGCATTGAAACTTCTGCGTGCTTTCATTTACTGCTTTGTCCCTTGCTGGAGAGCACCTCTCTTGCCTCAGTATCTCCATCCCATCACCAGCGGTTGGGCTGACAATGTGAATCACACCAAACCCACAGGAAAGAGATAAAAGCAACCTCCCTGTGTCATGTTCCACCCAGGCTGTGTTGTTCCCCTGCAATCGAGCCACCAAACTGACTCACCCTCAGAGCAGACTGCAGCTCAGAGTTTGTTCTGCAGTCAGGCACCAATATCTGTTTTCTTCTTCACCTTTGCAATGTGCCTTCTCCCTTACACTGAGGGAAATTCTGCTGTTTGGAGTTAGGCTCCAAAAATCCCAATGCGGAGTTCCGTTATTTTGCCCAGGGTCACACAACTGAGTATCTGAACCACACAGATTTAACCCACTTAGTGTAACTTGTATCAAAATGCATGCAAAGCAAAAGACCGGATCTGCCCATCCTCCAGACATTTCAGAAAACAGGCCCCAAAATCCAAGCCAACTCAACACACACGCCACCCCAGCATTCCAAAAGTCTGCACTAAACCTTTGCACCATATCAAATCAGCCTTGGGTCTGGAATTTTGCAACTTTTTGTGTTTGGACTTCTGTCACAAGCATAAAAACTATGTCCCTAAGAAGATTTCCAACTTTAGCAAAACATTGTGAAACCCAAGGTCAGGAGACACGTTGCATCAACCTGCTGCGTGCTGTTGGCTTTGGTTTGCCACACTTCTTTATGTGAAGGAACAGTGTCTGTGGAGGCTTCACCCAGCAGTTGTTTCACTCCTTCCTTTCATTACCAACTATTACAGAAAAAAAATAAGAGTGATAAAGTCCACAGGACACAACCTGTCATATGGAGAGAGGCTTCCCACATTAGGTCAAGATCTGCTCATTTCCCCTGGTGACTATTTTGTTCTTAAGGAAAGATCATTTTATTTAACTCCACAGTAGGAGGAGCCCAGTAGAAGTGGCTCCTCATAAGAAAGTGTTCCTGCTGGGTGCTGCCTCTGCGCCGTGTCCAGGTAGGTTTTCCAGCCCCAAAAGGGTGGTGTTCCAAGGGGTGGTGGGGGCAGCAGGTTGTTTCTGAGGGAGCTCAGCGCCTGATGGGACGAGCCAGCTCTTGGATGCGAGCAGAGCAAGCTGCCTTCTTAGCAGCCTCCTTCACCGTGAACGCGTCTGCATTGAACTGAACCGAGCTCATCGGAGGCCTGGGGGAGGGAGGACAGGGCTGGTCACTTCTGACTGCAGCAGGACCAGCTCTCCAAGCTGCCCGCCAGCTGACACACCCCCACCTGAGCCCTGCTCTTCCCTGTCAAGGGAGGACAAACGCAGTCATGCCTCCACTGCTGTGCCCACGATGCTAGTGAGAAGGGATGCCCACCTCTCACTGAAGCTGCCATCCCCACAGCACTGGCACATCCAGCTGTATCCAATCCATGCATTTTGGAAGTGGAAGAGCAGGGGCTTAATCACACTGGCCAAACCCAGATCAGCAAGGTGCCACGGCCCACACGAAATAGGCTGGCAGCTGATTGTTTCCCCATGGCAGGGAAGCAGCACCTACCTCTTGCAAGGCTGGGCCAGTTCCCTGAGCCTTGTCGTGGCCACCGCGTGCTTTGCGGCCTTTGTCACTGGCCACTTGGCACCCCGCAGGGGCACGTAGCCAGGATGCAGACTTTTTGCCCTAGCCAGCTCCAGGGTCCGAGGGCTCACAATTGCCTTCTGAGCCGACTTGGAAACCTGTGGAAGGATGGGGAAGAAGGTCCTTGGAAGTGCTCCTGGCATTCAAGGGTGACGGGCCTGCCACTCGGCGTACCCAGGTTCACAGCCTCTGACAACACGTGGATGGGACACGATCTTCTCCACAGCTCTATCTGGCACCAGATAAGCTGTGGAAGGAGAAACCACTGCCTGGCCAGTCCCACAACCCACCACAAAGAAAGCCAGGGTCCCAGTGCCCTCCCCTCTGCCCAGCACCCCTGCCACGTGTGGTCCCAGGGGGTGCTGCCTCACCGGACGAATGACGGATTCGGGAGAGCTGTGCTCATAGCAGCAGGTCACCTTCCTCACCCGGGGCTCTGCAAGGTGCTCTAACCGTGAGGATGCTCTGGCCAAGGCCACGTTTGTAACTGGTGCTGGCACCTGCAACACCAGCACAGAATGGGGGAGGCATGTGCAGGCACGGAGCTTGTCCACAGCAGCCCCCTCCAAAAGGACGAGCACCCACCACCCTTCCCCTGCAGACTCGGTCACAAGAAGGAACACTCTTACTTTCCCAGCACCCATTATTTTTTCTTTCACCTATAAAGTAATTGTGGTGCTACTGTGATACATTTTAGGCAGTTTTATCTTTTTTTTCCCCCAGCTGTTACCCACTCATCGCCAGGAGAGGAATGCCTGTAATGAGAGCCCATGCAGCCAGGTAAAAGTGCAGAGAAATCTCTTCCAGAGTAATTTTTTCCATATTCATTTTCCTGGCTGAATCAAATCATTTCCCCACTGGAGAGAAACGCTCAGATTTCAGGGTAAAAGTGCTGGTGCAGTAAACTGCATTCCTACAGCCAAAGTGATTACTGCTCCAGCATGGGATTTCTTCCTGTTTTTTCACAGGGTTACTGATGCCAAGGCCAGCTCCAGCAGAGCCTCCCTTAATTCCCAGTCCAGAGACCACAGCCAGACAACCTAGCCTTTGCCATGGAAATGCCCCAAGCCCTTTCACCCCTGCCAAAGCAACGACCCGCCTAAAAGGAGTCAATTCATAAATATGCATCTAAATTAGGCTTCTGTTAAAATATACATCGTGTTTGCAGGCTCATGCCCCCTGTATACACAGATAGGAGCACAGCTGCCCAACCACAAACATGACTGTACTCCCTAGGAGCTAAACAGGCCATTCCCATCAGGTTTCTCCACTTTCCCAGGCTGCTTTATCAGCCCAGATGCCTCCCTTGGCTCTCCTGCTATTCTAGGCTGCTCCAGCCTGGCTGTTTTCCATCTCTAAAAAAGACAGCGTGTCACTCCAAAAGGCTTCTGTTTCTCTCAGTATCACAAACCCCAGCAGAACCACAGAGCTTCTCCCCTCCACAGCACGCGCTGGGCACATCCAGGGGCAGGACCCAGGATGTTTTGCTGCATCACTGTCCCCTCCAAATCTCACTTGAACACCTCCTCACCTCTCTGGCCATCAGGAACTCTGGGTGCAGCACCTTCGGCCGGGCAAGCTCCAGGATCCACGGGGAGGCCTTATACCTCTGTGCAGCTGGTGAGACAGGCCACTGAGGGGACTGGTGAGGTCTGGAAGCAAAGAGTCATGGCACTGCCACTCACAGGTGTTCCCCCACACTGGTTAAACCAGGCTGCAGCTGGGATGTTTCAGCCTCAGGTTTGCTGCAGGAGAAGGCAGCTTTGTCTTGTGGCCATTTCCAGTGTAGAATCTACTCATCCCATGAGAGAATCCAGAGGTCCTACTCTCAGCAGAGTCCTGCTGTGCATTTTGCCCTCTGTGATCCCCATCCTCTGCTCCCACATTTATTACTCTGAAGCTGCACCGATGCTACAACACCCAAGGGTCTACCTATAGCACCCTAACAGTTTTTTCAGCCTCTCACCTTTGCTGCAGGTAAGCAGCCTGGCATTTTTTAGGTTCAGACAACTTCAGCAGCCGATCTGAAGGGAGGTAGAAATCCACTAGTGGGGGACGCTCCCAAATCGTCGATTCCCGCCCACAGCTGTATAAGAAGAGAGGTCTGGAGGAGCAGCACAGAAGAGTTAGTAAAATACAACTGACAGAGAACATGATCCTGGCAGACAGTATCCTAGGTCTGGTTAAACATCCGTGCCTGCTGCACGTACAAAAGTTGGCACCAGTGCACACAGAAAAGCCACGAACAAATGGGCACTTACGCTTGGGTAAATGTTTGCCTCTGCAGAGTCCTCTTTTAAGCACCCTCAGTGCACTGCTGCCAAAGTTTAGGCCTTTCCCTGGATCATTTCAGGAAGCCACTCCCCAACAAAAACTTGACAGTATCTCTGTTGTTCAGCTCTGCCAATTCAGAAACCTCTTTGTTTCAATGGCTTAACAGCTTCTTGTGCTCTTGTAGCTCCTTTCATCTTAAGATCTCCCCAGGCTTGCCTGCTATACACTCATCCAGCTTTCCATCAGTCACAGCTGTTGGAAGATACCTGTCCTCACCAGGGAAGAGGTGAGCACACGTGAGCAGAAGGACAGGAAGGGCTGTCAGACAGACATCATTAGTCAGAGGCAGAAGCTCTCAGGAAGGTGAGAGCCCCAGAACTGATGACAGTGGCAGAGGAGAGCAAACTACAGACGTGCGTCTTGACGTGTGCCCTCCAGGCAGAGGAAAGCCAGGAGTACAACTTTATTTCATCCCCATTCTCCTTGCTATGACTTCTCACAGACTATCACCCACCATCCCATCTCCCAAAGAGCTCCATCCCCTCCAACAGAACTACAGATGAGCTGCTTCAAGTAACGTAGTGCCATCACCCAGTGCCTAGGAAGTTGACATTTTTTCCATCTTTTTTCACTCCTATTTACAAACATGGCACTACTTTTTCACCATGCAGTGACAGCAGAGGTATATCTCAAGGCAAGAGACCTGGATTCTTTCCAGCCAGCAGGGTGCTGCAAGATTTCTCTGTTCATACCACTCCCCAGCCTTTACCCCCAGGATTTTAGGTCTCTGCTTCCAAGCTGAAGCAAAGCTGTTGATCAGGGGTTTTTGTTAGAGCAGAGGAAGAATGTTGCCATGTGCTTGGAGACTGAGATCAAGGTTAGCTCCTACGGCAGCTGATCCAAAGCCAGAGCTCTGATCAGACCACCAACAATCACTCGTTGCAGAAGCCCTTCCCACAGCCAGGAAGGTATAAGGAAATAAAAGGGCATCAAAACTTACTACCCATGAGTTCCTCCTCTTTTTGTAAGTCAAGCATTCAGTGACTATGCTCCCATAGCACTTTCTTCCCTGCTACAAACAGCCCCTGTTCCAAGCACCAAGTAGAGCCTGGTGGATCTCAGTAGCATGGAGCTCCCTGAGAGGCAGTGGTGGCAGGAGATCAGATGGCCTCTCCCCTTCCCCTGGGAGCCAGCATACCCCTCTGATTAGAGAGCACCTCCTGATTTGCCTCCTTCCCCAGGATGTGCTGCCACATCACTGACCTGCAGTGGTGCTTGCCAAAATCTCGCTTGGGCCTGGCCAGTGCCGCAGTTCTTGGGGACAGTTGAGCTGTCAGAGCACTTCGTGAGAGGGTCCTGATGGTCTCTTGGTTTCCCCACACAAACCTAGCAAGAACAGCAAGGGTGTGGAACTTCAGAAACGTGCACAAGTGTGAAAAGTGCTTGCTGGGGTAATCCTTGGCTTCCTAGGAAGGGACACACACGGTCCCTATGGCCAACCACAGCTGTAAAGTGCTGCTGCTGTCCCCTGAGCGCTCACCTTCTCCAGCACTGAATTTCCTAACATTGTCTAGGTGGTTGTTGTCAGTTGAAAAAGAAAAGAGCCTTCAAGTGATGAGTCCTGTTTTACAGTTACCAGTGGATATGCAGAAAGTCTCATTACATCTATGAAACCCCTGGAGGAGTTTCATGATTGCATTTTTCTTGCCTCACCACTACCACCTAACTATACCACAGGTATGACAGTAAAAATAATAATAATGTTACGGTCAGGGTGTGCCATGGAAAGTGGGTGAGGTTTTGCACCATATTAGTGGTTCCTCTCCTGTCCCTAGGGCGAATCTGGAGATGCTCATTTCCCACTGAGAGAGAGGCCATGGTGGGAGATGGTGCCAGGGTACTCGGGACAGAGAACAGCAGGGTGATGGCTCTGCCAAGCCTTTTTCAAGCACAGTGACACCCATATCCAGACAGTGGAGAAGAGACATTATCAAAAGACTCTTGCCCTGGATTGTCAAGCCATAGCTTGACCCCATGGAGACAGCAGCTCTGCTCCTAAAGTTGGACTGTGTCCTTCAGGATACAGCAGCCTGTGGCTCCGAGGAGACCCGGCCTCTTTGCGCCACAGCATCATCCTACCCTACAACATCTCAGTGGGGCAGCTCAGATGGAACAGCAAAGGCAAGACTCAGGTGAAGCCCAGTTTTTTAATTGAAAACAAGAAAGAAAAGAATTGAAGAGAGCCCCTAATGCACCAAACATCTCAATCTGTTTTTCTGGAGCCACTCCTGCTCTTGAAAGGAAAGCAGTAGCAAAACAAAGGCAAAGGGTCTGCACTGGCTGAGGTCACATCAGTCCCCAGCCCTTGAGCAAGGGCTGTCTGGGCACCTCCTTACCTGGGATCATGTGTGCAAGCTGCTTTCTTGGGTTCTGCAAGTTCTTGTATCCTGTCAACATTACAGAAAAGGACAAATGTGCCATTGAACACAGAGGTACACCAACAAAGCATAAAGAAGCTGCTGCTGTACACAAAGCCATAACACATTCTTGAAGCCACGTGGCTTTGCAAGGCAACCCTTGTCAGAGTGTGTTTAAGAGATCTAAGTGACTTTCCATCCATTTTATCTGCCAAAATCACCAGCCCGTGGATTTTTGTGCTATCCCTTGGATTGCAGAGACATGATTTTGCAGTTCTGCCCTCACTGCAGGGTCCCTTTGGGACACGGCAGGGAGAGTGGGATGATATTTTCTACAGGAGACCAGAAACACCTGTTCCTAATACTCTTGTGGCTTGCCAAAAGGCAGCATGGAGACAGCACAGCCCTAGAGAGGCACATGGACACCAACAGAGATGTTTGCTGACAGAAAACGGCCTGTGCTTGGGGGACACACCTGTGGTTTCTCTGATGCGTTGGCGATACCTCCAGGGAGATGCCAAGCCCCAGTATGCCCTCGCCAGAGAGCTCACCACCACAGAGACCCTTGCAATGGCAAGCTGCTGTAGGAGAGCCTCCTCTACACGTGCCTCCCTGTGAGAGGCCTGCTGCTTTATCTCCTGGTCACAGCACTGCACAACTGGCTACCACTGAGATCCCACAGAGGAGACTGTGGGACTTTGGCCCCCTGCTGCTAGTTCAAGACAGGGCACACTCAGGAAGTCATTTTGGGAGCCAAAACCAGTTCCAGCTGTTCATTCCCAAGCAGTTCCACAGAGACTTTTCCTTGCAAAGGTGTGAGAGGGTGAAGGACTACCACAGGAAGGTCGTCACCCCCAAAGCCTGGCTGCACGAAGAGCTGGCACCCTCTCCCTGCAGGCAGGCGAGTTGCTTTTTCTCCACTGCTGGCACAGATCCAACACACAGACATAGCCAAACCTAGCACAAAGCACATGTGGCCCTATTGCCCCACACTGAGGGCTTGGACACAGCTGTGCAAAGCTTCCATCATGATCCAGCCAAGGCACGAGTCACTGTACATCTGAACCAGGTTCCTCAACAAAAACGACAATTGGTTATTTCTTTCCAATTACAAAAATAGATTACTTCTTATTCTCTTATCATGGCAAAAGCTACAGACAGAAGGGCATCCTCACACAGGATGCACCTGCATCAACTCTGTAACTTGAAGGAGTTAAGCTGCCTCATTGGTAAGGGTACAACAAAGGGGAGCCTTTGCTGCTTGGTCCCATTCATGGTTTGGAGACCTTGCTAACAGCCAGACACAGGAAACACCTCCCCACCACTACCTGAGCTCACAGACTCACTGCTTAAGGAGGATCAGCTCCCCTTGAGATGAATCCCTTGTAAAGCAAAGGGTCACAGCTTCCATTTTGAAGGGACAAGACTGTCAGACACGGCCATGGAAAGCAGGGGGAAGGTTACAAAATCAGGCATCATTTCCTCTGCGTGTTTATCACAGAGTCATCCGATACAGCATAAATCTGAGATGGCATCCTCCCCCAGAGAGGAGGAGGAGGGGAGACCAGGGCTGGGAGGGTCTCTTACCTGCAGCGAGAGTGTGCAGACAACTGGCAAGAAACTGCAAAGACAAGAAAGGTGAATTTCAAAGCTTGGTGACACCTGCAGCCTGGGCTGCCTGCTCTTCAGTGTCAGATAATCACGAGGCAGATGAAGCTGGGGCATCTCCTTAGGACACAGCTGCTCTGCAGTTCCTTGTCCAGTTTTGCTCCTCACCAGGAGGGTGTTGTGGTTTGAGGCTTGGAATGGGGGCATGACCTTCCAGCAACTGGGAGGACCCCGGGTGGGGGTGAACCATTGTATTCCCTCCCCTTCCCACACACACTCTGATAAGAGGCAGGGAGTGGTTTTTTGTTTCACTCCTGCCTTGGAGCTCGGAGAGGAAAGTTCTCCTTTCACTCCGTGGGACCCTGGAACCATTTCTGAGGGTTTTGTATATTTTATCTTTTGTATTATTCCCCTGATCTTTATATATATTATTTTTCCTTACCTCCCTTTTTCGTTTTCTGTTCCTTGTTGAACAATATACTTCATTTTTTTTCCCAAAGTGTCTCTCTCTCTCTCGAGGGGGTGGGGGAGAGGCGAGTACATAGTTCTGTTCTGTGTGGGTCCTGCCCTGAACCCCTTTTTACACGGAACTAGGACACAGGGGCAGGCAACCCCGAGGCTGCAAGATCGAGCACCTCGAACCTGGTCCCTCCCTCACCAGCACCCTCCTCCTGCAAAAGCCTCGGGGGTAGCAGCTCTTATAAACGGGGGCTCTGCACCCCTACAAAAAAACAAGCCACCACCTTTGAAAGGGCGGACCAGGAAAAGGGGGGAGAGCGGGGCAGTGGGGAACCCAGGTGCCATTTCGGGGAGCCCTCCCTCAGTCCAGCAGGACACACACACAGACCCACATCCCCCCCGCAGTCCACACCTACCGGCGTAGGACCCGCCCGCCGCCATGGCGCATACCCTCCCCCCAACCCCCCGTCGCCACGGCAACGGAGGGACCCGCCCTGCGGCCTCCCCTTCTGCCGAGGGCCGGGGAAAGGCCCCCGGGCCTGCCCCCACCGCACTCCCTCCTTCCGCGGGTAAATGAGACCCAGAACAGCGGTTAGGGTAAAACTTATGCACTTTATGCAGCTGTCACAAAGGACAAAACCCATAAAACCCCCACACAACAAAGGCGGTTGGCAAAGCGAGTCCTGCTGCTCCCCCGCCACCTCCTTGGAGGGCACCAGGAGGACGAAGCTCATCGTCAGCTCCTCTTCCTCAACTGCTGCTGTGCTAACAGGAATCACTTACAAAAAAAGGGTTGGCTTTTCACAGGTAAGAGGGCGTGCTGGACGACAACCTGGACTAAATTGAAATAAGCCACTCAGCGTGATGGAGGATTCTCCTTCCTTTGGTGCCAATTTAACTCAAATGCTTCCCAGTCACTATCTTAAATTACACTAGTTTGTTTTTTCCCTGTAGGCAAAGGAACACTTAATGTCTTACTGCTTTCATTTTCTTGTTCTTATCCACTAAAGAAGTGGTAACCAACTCAATTTCCAGAGATTAATTTGTCACTCTCTTAAAAGCAGGCTCCAATACAGCAACAAAAATTGTCACTGTCAAAAACATTAGTCGCAGCACTTTAAATTTCTGACACCAACAAGAAGCAAGGTCTTATTTTTAACTCAACAACACTGAACTCTGTAAAACCTGTGCAATAAAGATATTTCAATTGAAGTCTGAGACATCAAGCCAGGTTAAATTCACTGGATACATCTTTATTCTGCTGAAGTACGTGCTTGATTCCCATCTGGCGAGAAGCCACCTCAGCCCATCTAAGCTACAGAATAGGGTGAAAACCTTAGCTCTGCCATCCAAGAGACTAAACTTCCCCTACAAATATGCATCCTCTACAAATAGACTACTTGTCAAATACATTTTCAAACCACTACGAATTACATTTTCTTACCAACTAGACATCAATTTCAGGGGAATTCCACACCTACAAGTGAAAGACACCTGTACATTTCAGTTGTCACAGGGCAAACTGACCACGCACTAATGCCCTGACCCCCTCAGCTGCAAATATCATGTCGTAGGAGAAGAGCTGTCACTGTGCTTCCAAAACCAACTGTGCTATCAGCTCCTTGGCATCCTTCATGCTGGAGGAGATCTCAGAGCCCTCCTCTGCCACGTGGGTACCAATCAAGAACAACTTCCTCTCGTCCCCAATATCAGACAGTGCCAGAGCCTCGTGGATGTCAGTGATGCAATACGCGCCTTCGAGGTCCTGATATGCAAAAACAAAACAAGCCTGTTAGTCACAAAGTGGTGGCACCATTCCCACTTTGAGCCACCGCCTCTCTCCAGGGAGGGGAAGGGTCTCAAAAGCTCTGGGGGCTTATATATCTTCTACAAGATCAAGCTCTAATGCCCTAAAATGCTTTGGGTGAAAAAAAAAAAAAAGTTTTATCCTTAATCTAATTTCTTCCCAAAGAAATATGGGTACAATTCTGCTTCTAGTAATTTCAGTGTTTCTGATAATAATGTAAGACTCCCTGTACAAGGCAGACAAAAGTCTTGCTGGTCCAAGACCCCAGGTGCCCAGCACAGAGTTACAAGAACAGGACAGTGTGCTAGAGTCATTCCCTGGGCACCTTTTCAGCCACCAGCTCTTCTGGCTCCAGGCCACAGAAAACCAGCAGCAGCACTTGCCTTTGACAGAGCCAAAGCCTGTGCTTGCAATCAAGAGCAATACAAACGACTGCTAGTAAAATACCTAACTGGAAATTTAGGAGGCAACCATGCAGAGCAAACTGAGCACACAGGGCTCCCAAAAGCTAATCTGGGCTGAAAAAACCTGGGCTGTTCTGTCGCCTGATGGTGCCACAGACACAGCTGTATTCAAGGAACAGCACCAGTCACTGGCACTTCCACAAAGATCTTAGGAAAATGCACTGCCTTGTGAGGAGAGCTGCTCTTCTCATGCTTCAGCAGCAGCCTCAGGAGCAACCAACCAGACAATCTAAAGTGAAGCCACGGTGCTTCACTTTTTGGCTGCTGCTAGGTAAAGTGGTACTTCTAGACAGACTTCAGAACAGAAACCTAACCCCAAGTCTAACCCTCACAGCTCTCAAACTTTGCAACTCTACAGCAGTTTCCACCACCATTTCCACCCTCAGCTCTCATGCACCATCTCCAAGCAGAGAACCTGCATCTAGCAGATCCAAAACTCAACCTCATTATTTTCTTTCGTGGCCAACAGGTGTCCCAGAAAGACCCCCAGCTCCCGGCGGTTCGGCCTCCTTGAAGGCACGAAGCCTCCCCTGAAAGGCTTTGCTGCTGTTTGCGTAGCTGCTGCCAGCCCAAGCTCAGGTCACAGCAGGGAACTCCTACCTGCTTGTTGGCCAGAACCACCACCGGCAGGGTGGAGTTGCTCTGGATGAGCTGATGAAGCAGCTGTTTCGCCACGGGCAGTCGGGCGTGATCGGCCGAGTCCACGACGTAGATGAGCAACAGCACTTTGGGCAGGTACATCTTCCAGTAGGAACGCAGAGATTCGCTGCCCCCGACTGGAAGAGAAGACAGCAGCACGAGAGTCACCCAGTAATCCAAGCAGCACGGCTCACAGAGGCCCATGCAGCAGGCCTTGGGCTGAAAACCCAAGGTATCAGGGTTACCAAAATCTCAAAGTATTCGGCCTACTACATAAAAGACTGTGAATAGTTTTATTTTCCCCAGTCAAGTCCCATGCAGGCATATGGGGGGGTGGGAGGAGAATCATTCCATTTTAAGCTCTTATTTTGAGGGGATTCTGGATTCAGTTTATTTATGGTTGCTTTCTGCATTATTGGTTCTTGCTCTCAAGCAAGTAAGGAGAGTAGTAAGAAGTTCTGCGTCCATACACATCAGGTGAGAGTGTCCCCATGCATCTCCACACACCCATCTCATCTTAAGACAAAGCAGGCCTACAATTACCAAAGAAGAAATTTATCTCTGAGGTGGGGAAGGCTGTCATAAGATTTGTATCACACTAGGGACTAGTTCAAAACCCCCACAGCTTTCATACTGTCAATAACCAAAGGTGCTTAGGAAGAGAGAAAAATCAAGCTCCAGGAGACTCTTCAGCCAATCCCTGGGAGAAATCTTTGCAGAGGATAGATTTCTACAAGAGCTCTTCTCTAACAGACACAGAGGAACACTGTCCACCTTCAAAACCAGGCCTTACAACAATTCCATGGTGAAAAACATATGCAACAGGTTGCTCAAGACTGTTGTTCCCATCTGGGGACAAAAATAATTTGCTAGTTTGCTGAGTTTAATAGGAGCAGAAACAACTAACAGGATATTAAGTATTTCAGATACATTTTCAGCTCTCCAGGTCTGCTCCTAAGTACACCACAGAACCACTCACTCGAGTACTGAGGTGCCCAAAAGGCACAAGAGAGTCTCCC